TAGCGGAAACACGAACAGGGTCGGCCCCTTCCCGCCTCCACCCCTTTTAATTAAGAGCGCAATCATTCTGTCGTAATCCAATACCGAACTCGCCCTGTCCATCGCAATTTCTCCCCGACTCGCCAGTCCTAAAGTTAAATTTCCCGTGAAATAAAAACACCGCCGCATAGTGTCGTACGCCTCTGTCCCCTGTCCGCCTCCCCCATTCCCCTCGACCTGCCTTTCATTGGAAATCGCTTTTTAATCGCGTTCTCGCAGAGCGCCAAACTTTCGCGCGCTTTTAAGTAGTAGAGCCGTTCGATTTATCCGCCGCTTCAAAAAATACTTTTATTTAGTTTGCAATCTGAGCGTTATTTAGTGTAACGCGACTTCAAACGGCTGTATATCCGTTCTTGTCGCAGACAGGGAGAACTGTTGTTAGGGAGAAGTTGTTGGGCACTTTATACGCTGTGAAAATGCATCCGGCTGAAATACCAAAGAACTTGTAACTCTATAGATTCGTAAACCTTCGTTGAATTCGCTTGACGTAAAATGAGAGGAGATCAACTTTAAACTCTTGTATCGTTAGTTTATTATAAAGAATCGATATCATTAAAAAAGGAACACTTACATTTTAAAAAATTATTAAATATTCATTAAATATTTTGTATAAAGGATTCGTTAAAATTTTAAGAAATAAAATTTTAAGATTTTAAGATTAATATTATATTTAGAAACAATATAGATCTTAATAAAAATTAAAATAAAATTTTTAAGATTAAATATCGAAGAATTAACCCCCGAGAAAGTTTTATTTTAAAATAATTTATCTTATATTTGTAAAAATTAAAATAATAATTGCTCTTCTTTCACATTTATCTTTTTCGTTAATTTATTAATTTATTTATTGATTTATATATTTGCTAAATATGTAAAAGATAGTATATTTTTTCTCATTTTATTTATGATTATCTACAAGATATTTAAGATGTGATAAAAATAAGAAAAATTTAACATTGGAAATTAAATTATTTTATTACTTAAATTTAGTACTTAAATTTTATCGTTTCTAATTTATTCAATATTATAATAATCATAAAGAATACTGTTTATTTACTTATTTATTTACTAAATAAACAATTACAAAAACACGAAACTGTCTATGAAACTTTCTATCTCGTGAATATTTAAAGGATTATAAAGAGCCATTTTGTATCTTAAAAGGAGCATTATGTTAGAGTTTCGAAAAATGGGCGGTCTCCTAGATCCTTCAAGAAGCTTTTCCCCGCGGTGGAGATCGAGCGATGCATTATACCCCTCGAAACGGGTAAAAATGCGAGGGATCAAGCGTCCGAATTGCGCGTCAGCTGATTGAAAGGCAGCCGGTGACGTTGCCGAAAGGCGCCGCGCCACGCGACACCTTCGAAATATGAGGACATAAATTCCCGGTACGAGGCTGACCTCCAAATGGCTGCCATTAAGCACCCCGAGATTCCCATTTCGACTTCAAAGTATCGAGATCATGATCGAACGATCCTTAATGGCTCTCATACAAAAGAGATGCTACGATCGGTGATCCGAACGCATTCATTTTTCGTGCTTCAATGCGTATCCAATAACTCTTAAACTAAGGTTTTAACTCTTAAAAACGTATTTCGAAATCGAGAAACTAAAAGCACGCGCGTTTCAAATTGGAAATTGAAGAGTCATGAAAAATCGAAAAAAATGCAAATTCGACAATTATATAAAAAATTCGAAGAACAAGTAAAAACTTAAAAAATTCAAAGATATATATTATGTAATATCTGATGTATCTTTTGCAACAAGATCTAGGCATTTTCCAAACATGAGAAACTCATATAAGTGTGTCGGAAGAAGTTCAACATTTGTAGATCTTTAGATTACGAGCTAAGAAACTTATGTCTCTCTAAAAATTCGACAATTGCTACACTTTCCGTTTAACGATCCGCGAATAATAAGCATACTCGTTGGAAAACATCTTCCAAATTCTAGAACTGAACATTAAATTTATTTTAGATGATCCTTAATTTTCAACGCAGGCATACCATGAGACATAATTTTGTGTGTATGTGTGTGTGTGTGTGTGTGTGTGTGTGTGTGTGTGTGTGTGTGTGTGTGTGTGTGTGTGTGTGTGTGTGTGTGTGTGTGTGTGTGTGTACACACATATCATCTTATATGATGATGTAATAAGAAGATTTTACAAAATTTTACAAGATTACATTTATATAATTAGACAATATATAATAGATTCTCTTCATTTATAATTACACTTTAACGTATAATTAATTTGAAATATAATTTTATTCCAGATATCGAATATACATTCAAATTATAAATCAGTTTTACCCACAGTTTCTTCGATAATTATAAAATTGATCGAAATTTCCCAAAAGTGAAATAATCAAGGTTTCAGGAAGGGATCGAATGTTTGATTCGTTATTTTGCCATGTCGCTTGAGTAACAATTCGTGAAAAGCGCGACGCAATTAAACTAAGTATCGGCCGGCGATGATCGCCGCAGCACAGGCACGCACCTCAGCGACGTGACCGGCGTTCGTCTCGATCCGAAAGAATCGCGAGTCCATCCACGTAACATAAAATATAGTAAATCGGGCAGAGAGTAATGCCCGGCTCGTAAATAACATGACATATGTTCGTTGGAGGCACGGCTGGCATGTACGCGTAAATCTCCTGGTCCTGCCGATCGATAAAATGCCGCTCGCGCCCGCTCGCTCGTCGGAGCGCGACCACCACTGGCCGCCACGCTCGCGATCGGTCGATCATTTGCTACTAATAAATCGCGCGAGTGTTAACGGTAGTGTATTAACGAGTAAATTTTTTTCTCTTATCCACCGTCGGATGACGGGCATTACGCAAATTTTTATCTTTACCCAAAGAGTAACAAACTAGACTAGTGTCAGTGTAGCATCTAGTCGGTGTAGCAACACTTGAAAAGTCACCGCCACTTCTGAAGTCTTTGACTCCGCACTTCGAAATGTAAGCGCAAGAGATATAAGCAGTTTTTTATTTGATTAAAATAAAATAAAGTAAAGATAAAGTAAAAAAAGTAGAGATAAGGTAGAGATAAATTATATTGTTATGTTTTTTATAAAGTTAATATAATTAGATTACATAATAGAAAACTATAATATGTTACATTTGAAAACACTGTATGAAACGTATGTGATTCTTTGAAAAAAAATTTTAGCTATTTATAAAAATTGAGTTCCACGAAATTACAGCGAAATAACTGACGAAACGTCCAATTTTTCCGTGTAATCTTCATCACTCTGCTTTAGGGAGTTTCGGCCGATTTTGCAATTATCGAAGAAATAGGGGGACAATTGCATTTGGCTGCGACAAATCGCCATACACAGAGAAAGGTAAGAGAAGGGGGAATAACCCGGAAGCACGTGCAATATCAATTCTCGCAAACGGTAATCTAGAATGATTATACCGAAATCGTTTATTCGTTAAAAGATTGATGAGCATCGAAATGTTGTCAAAAAGTAGTTGAAATAAAATATCTCAAAATTTTTTCAATCAAAAAGAGATATACATAACACGATGCTCCTCGTAAAATTTAATATTAATTTTCCCTTGGTAGAAACGTTAAGAAAAACAATCATTTTTCACAATTTGTCAAATTTGTGACATTCAATGTATTAGCAATTAAGAAATTCTTATTTAAAAACTGAAATTTTATAAAATAAAAATCGCTCAAAATTAAATAACAGATATAATGTGTTTTATTATTTACTTTAATCTCTTGAATATTTTAATTTGCAAAAAAAAGATTTTTTTCTTAGGGATTTATAACTCAGAAATTGTATATAAAATGCTTCTTAATACTTTTTGCTAATGAAAATTGACTTTAACTTGTACCAAAAATACAATATGTAACGACTTTTCGCCAATTCAACTATTTATATGTATTATTATTCATTTCACGTTTAAGCGTTCTTTTAATATTCGTATCGAAACCATCACATGCATATATTTGATGAACTTTATAATTTGTGATAAACAAATTCTGAAAACTCAACGATGATTAAACAAATTTTAATAAATTGCCGAGTAATTTAATAATCATATTGCAATCTCATTGCAAAAGTATTTATAATTGCGACGTCAATTATTTACGATTGTGTTATTCAATTTTAATCCGTTATCGGTCTTTTTTCGAGACTAATTAATTGTTTAATGAACGTGATGGTCGATTTCGCAAATTCAGCAAAATCACAAATTCTGAAATAATTTGCAAAGTACCGTATTTCTACGAAAGTTTTCCGCAAGAAAACGTTCTGAGATCCTATCATCGTTAAAAGCATGTAATTAAAATTGACGAGCAGCAATCACGAGTTAACAAGGTACCGACGCAAAACTACGCCCTATTCTCTTCTCGTCCGCCCACTCTTGCATTTTATACTAATAACGCTTGCTTCTCGATTGACGTTTCATTACGCAAAAGAAAAAGAAAAGTGAAAGAAGTCGTGAAAGAAAGGAAAGAAAAGTATTTTCATGACGTGATTGAATCGAATAATCAACTTTCCACCAATGTAATGTTAATCAGACGGAAAGTTCAAATGTTGTTTAAAATAATGCCGAGTTAAGAAAAAAAGTCTGAATTTTACTGCTGTAACAATTATGAATTGTGATAGAGCTTGATAGAACTTTTTTACCGTTACGTTTCAGACACGCCGGTATAGTAATAGCATTTATAAGTTGAAGGGTTACAACACTCAAAGGATTGTAATTGGTTGCGCATTGACGAGTTTAAATTTACACCGAACTTAGCATATACAATCGCGCGAATTAGAGCGTGTTCTATTTCGTGCAATCAATTGCCGGTATATTACCGCGATACGTTGCACGTGCAATTTCTGTATTAGATTATGCGATCGTGCCGTGATTAATTGCGAGTTGCAGTTGTACGCGCAATTATTGCCCAGTGGAAAACAGATAGAAATATATATTGCAATTTGTGTTAAATCTACTTACTTGCGAATCGCCGACTTCGGACATGCACGATCCACGCACTCAGTCCCGAGATCGATCCTTAGCCGTAATCTCGGTTCTATAAACAAAAAATAAAAACGTTTTATAGATATTAGATATGACAATAAATATAATATAAATTACACACTTCATTTCTGCTGAGATTAAAAATAAAACTTTACACTTCTAGAAAAAAATATTATATTCTTCCTATTTTTTAAATGGTAAAGAAACTCTATATTTTATACTTGTATTTTATACTTGTAATATTAAATTTATTTTAATATTGATTAGAAAAAAAATTGGCGCTATAAACAATCGTAAGATATATTTTTAGAATTATCGTGACATTTGTATTCAATTATGTATTGTTAAAAATCTTTTAACATATTTGACATGTGTTTTACCACTTTAAAAGCTCATATCGAATTAAAATTAAGGATAGGCGCCCATAAAAAAATTACTTTCTTTCCCTCCTTTCATTTATATGTTACATCGTTTAATCTTTGCCAAATTCTTTGTGTTAACAGCCGTAAAACGTTTCACCTCGAAGTGCTCACTTCGACATAAATCCTCTCCGTTAATTGCGCCGTACGATCGCACGAGTAATTTCAACTCGCCCGTTCCCTCCGGCTGGCGGCCTGACGAAATAATATTCCGGCTAAATGGCGGCTCGTGAATCCCGTCCGAATGCGCGATAAAACCAATGCCGGCAACGTGTTTACAGTTTTACGAGGTGTCAGCGAAATGTGCAACGCGAGCAAGCTATATTCGCGTAACATCATGAACTTATATGATAGCCTCAACCTTTCCCACTGTACTGTCCAGATCATTAACCATCTTTTTAGCTGTTCGAAAAATTCCGCCATTTGATCATCGTTATTATTCAAAATTTTTTAAATTACTTTGAAATTTAAAAAATAATAAACCACTTTTTAAATATGTAATATAAAATCAGGAATATAAACGATACAAGGTTAATTGAAATATAAATAAAGAAAAATATACACAATTCTAAGAAATTAAATAAAATTCTCATATAATTAATAATTAAATTTTCTGATTCTTTAATAAGCACTGATTTAAAAGTCCATTAATTAATGATATAGTCATGTATGCTTTCATTAATTTACGGTAAAAAAGTTATCCAAAAATATATATCCAAAATTGTAATATAAATTTAGAATGTAATATAATAAAATTCTCGATATGTACTTTGCCATAGTTTTCAGAATTTTTTAAATATATTCTAGCATGCTAAAAAATATATTTGTAAAAGAAATAGAATATTATTGAAATATAATTATCGTCACAATTGAATAATTATGTTCCTAATTAGCTTAGTTAAACAGGCGATTAGCAGCAGCTGTTACGTGACATTGGCACGTCTTGGCCAGCATTTGATGTCGGGGTTACGATTTCATCCCTCCCTTCTCGTCAGCCCTCCTTGACATTGCGTGTCTCCCCAGAGACTCCTTGAGCGTCTGATTAACTTGGTATGAAATTATGCCCCTTTACACCCTTTATAATATTTCATATCTAGACTTATGCAGTAAGAATTCTGTGGAGAATAATTCGAATTTTTCAAACATTTAAGAAATTTAAAAATACAATTTTTTGCAAGCTGAGTTATACACAAAAAAAAATAAAATAATAATATTTATATGCCATAACAATAATATATTTCTTCTACAATTTCTGCAAATTTTATCTTTTATGTAAAGTACTCGAAGATGTAAAACATTAAAGAATTGTATATAAAAATCCCATTAGATTTTATTTCAAATTTAAAAGGTTTATAGATCTAATTTAAAATAATTACATTTACTAAAGGCATTTAAACAGACGGACAAACTAAGCAAATTAAAAAATCCAGAATTTAAGCATTTAAGATAAACGTTCAGAGTATACTGATTGGATCATTTGTTATGTCAAGCCCTTCGTCATTTTCTAAAGCCACGCTTGACTCAACGTCAAATTCCTCAAGCCCTTCATCTCTCCCTTAACAGTTCGCACCTCAAGTCATCCCCTCAACCATGTCGGTTGCAAGACGCTACAGCTGCAGCTGCAGTTCTCGTGTGCATCCGCAAGGGAGGGAAAAGGGGGAGGATTACAGAGAGGATGGGTATGGCGTGGGATGATTGTGGGGGCAAACGTAGGTGGGGGTGGATCGTACATACGCGGCCGGTGCATGCGGTAATGGCGGTGCATACGGTGTACCAGTCAAACGCATACCGTATTGATTTTAATATCTGTGTAGGAAGTAGAGAGAGGAAGAGAAGGTAAAGAGAGAGTAGAAGAAAGGAAAGAGAGAAAGAGAAAAAGAGAAGCAAGAATAGAAAGGAAGGAATGCAATGAAAGAGGAAGCTTTTACACGTCATTTAGACACCTGTAGCTGTGACTTTTGATGCGTCAGCGCATTTCACATACATATTAAGACACATTGGTAAGTTTATTCAAGTCGATTTATTTTTGTACAGAATTATACACACGTTATATATTATATTTTAATGTTCTCTTCTTTATGTTTACTAAAAAATGTATATTATTCACAAACTAAATTTTATAAAATACATGTAATTTTATTTAGAAAAAACTCTAAAAAATTTTCTTTCCATGTCATCATTATCTCATGTATATAAAATAAATAAAATAAACTATACCAAGTTTTGACTAGAATTAATCTGTCCATTCGATTAAAAATTTGTTCACTCATGAAACTAATTTCAAACATGGGAATAGGCGGTACGGGGAGATAGGTTTGTAAATGACGAACGCACTAATGGTAAGTGACAGTGGCTAATTAATTAGTATCGAATGTTCGACACAGCAAGAGCGATTAAACTCAACACACCTGAAAATCCTAATCATCTACAAATTAGTCTGGACAAACATAGTAACAGATAGATGTACCATTTTTAATCAAAAGTAATGTAAATATATCAAAATCAATTAAACAAAGAATAATATATGTAATGAGTAAACATGATTTTTATCATAATTTTCTGAGTATCTTAATTATTACAAGATAATTTAAATCCTTTGTCTTATTCATTGTATTTAATATAAAAATAATTGTCATTTTTAAAAATTTTGTAAATATTACTATATTTAATTACTGAAAAATATTCTAATATTATATTTATCTATTATTACAACACAACTATCTTGATTGATTTTGTCCAATAGAATAATATTCACATAGTGTGACAATAAAAATAACAAGAGTAATTAATATAATTTTTCATATACGACAGATTATTACACTGAAGTATTCAATCTTAATCTATCGACATTATTATAAATTTAAAATATGACATATTAAAATAATGAGATAAAACTTTTGAAATGCTATCGTTTTTATTTGTAACAATAATGAAACTAGTTAAAGATCAAAACATAAAAGTATTAAGGTAAATGCAGCTCCCCTTTATTGATACATTAATCACAACTTAATTAATAAATCTAGAACATATGTACGTACCAAGCAAAGCAAACTGCCCTGTTTACTAAAGGCATTCATCTGGAATAATTCATAGCTTTATTACAATAAGATTATTTATTTAAGATCTATCGCGTAATTGTGATACTAAAATTTTCAAACTAATGGAACTAATAATAATAATAATAATAATTAATACCGTTAACATGGTATTACTCAGTATTTAATATTCAAAATTCAAGAATTGTGAAAATTATCTAAGCTACCAAATTGCTATGTTTACTAAAAACACTCACCTGGAGTAACAATTTACGCAACTTTACACAATGAGATTATTTAGGATTAAAAGTTGCTATGCTAAAATATTTTCCAATAATCAAAATGAAATTTGTTACCGAAATGATCATTAAAAGTAATGATCATTTAATTTCTAAGTATTAAAAAATTATGAAGATTTACAAATATTTTGCACAAATAAATATTAATTAGGAAATTTAAATTGCAATAGTTTTATTTTTACTTTCTTCCAAAATGAAAAAAAAGTTATGTTTTTTCAATGTCGATAAAATACAGATTTAAACTCAGCACAAAAATCATGAAAATAATTATATATAAAAACTAATTTTATATTTATATTTATTTTAATTTTATATTTATATTTATTTATTATTTAATAAATAATAAATAAATAATATGTTTGTGACATTGAAAATTAAGATTTAATATTAAAATAAATGTAATATTAACTTATTAAATATTAACTATATAAATCTTAAATCTCTACTAGGGGTGCAAATGAATTACTCGAGCAATTTGAAGCTATACAATCAACAATTACACGGTTGGAATTAATTGAGCTCTGTTATTGAGGACAAGATTTGCATCCATTACATGACTTTGCCACATTTAACAATTGACAGTGGGCAAATATATAAACGCATTATTCTGCTTTATAGGATATTATACTTTAGGCGAACCTAAGTGATTGCTACTCTACTTATCACTCATATTCTGTACGAGACATTCTCACGATACATTGACTTGGAATACATAAAAAAGAAAAGACAGAAAAAAATATAAAAAATATATTTTGAAAGAATACATGAAAGAATACATCTTTTTTCTCTTGTCTTGTCACAAATGATTAATATACTTGAAATTAATTTTTCTTAAATGATATAAAAAATCTTGCATTTTGCAATTTGATTTCTCAAAGACTTCTTAAGGAAAAGGCTAAATGATAAAATCAAATTCTTTAAATAATTTGAAATAGATTTACTTTAATTATGATATTGAAAAAATATTTTAAACTTTATTAAGTAAGTTTTTGAAAATAAGAAGTACTAATATTTACTATTATTTTATAAATAATATTTACTATTACACGGAAAAAACACTTTTGTTGGCAAATCTAAAAATTTGACCAGATACAGATCTGAAAATTGGTAAAGATCTGAAAATAATTTTGTTGGCCCATCAAAATTATTTTGTAGAACACTTAAATATGATGATAATACTGCAAAAATGTTTGATTTTTTAACAATCAATTTGAACATCGTATATAATTTTGAAGGCCCAACAAAATCATTTTCAGATCTATATCTAGCCAAATTTTTAGATTTGCCAGCAAAAGTATT